GTGTGCATGTCTAGCTGTATGCTGGACATTTTATTCATAAAAGTCCTGTGAGAGATAGTATTAAAAGCTTTTCTAAAATCCCAAACACCCATGTTTACTGCCTTCCCTTTGTCCACTGGTTAAAAGTGGTTTGTTTTCACATCCAGCACATCTATTCAGCCTGTTCAGTGTACTCAGTAGCTCCTCTGTTAATAATCGTCTCTTTAGTGAAACACAGCATTTGTAATCAGAATTCATACGTCACCATATGGACTAAAAGCCTGGTCTCTGTGCTGTGGCTTTGAAAGGCACATCGAGCTCCACCAGGTGGTGGGAAATTTGGGATGTCTTTTACACTGAAATTTTTGCCTTCTTACCTATTTTCATGAATCACTAGCTGATCATTCTGTCCTTTCTTTCAAATTTCTTAAGAAGTATGTAGGGAAGAATGAGAAAGTATATTTAGTCAAGTGATAGATTATTGAAGAGTTGATTACTATGAGGAAAAACAACAACTCTCATACCTGTTTATTGTTATTTTTCTTTAAACATCTATCAAATTTTTTGCTGAAACAATCAAATTACTTGAATACAACCTATGAAATTGGTCTAATAATAGCAAATGGTCAGTCCTATGGACTGAACATAAGTGTTCTTAATGGACCCACTGATAAAATGTTATATAGTAATTACACTGAGATATTTTGTTTTGCTTAGTATCATTGTAAGACTTTCTTCATTATTTCTCCATAGCAACTCATCTTTGCATCTGTTCTGTGAATACTAAAATACACCCTACATTTGAATACTTATGTTTTTAACTTATAGTTGTATAATTAAAAGGTGAAAGTGCATGTTAAATGCATCAGCAGAGTGCATTTTTGGCAAAGAAGGTAAAGTATATAAAATGTGTATCCCATCTGTTACAAATGTACGGTCTTTTCACCAGTAATTACAACAATTTTATGTGGAAAATAGGATTTATTCTACCCTAAATACAGCTAAAAATAACTGTGAATAAAGGTATACTTGGAATTGAATATAACCCATAAAAAAACTAATTTTGATTTTAGCAAAAACTAGTTCAATTTATACAAGAGTCCCTGGGTTTTGTGTTTACTGATGTTCACATACATTATTCAGAGGCACCAAATATTAGGTGAGACAAAGCACAGTGTGGCTGAAGTGTTTAATATGCAATAGAGAATTTTTTGATGACTCATAAGTAGGGCCAGTGATATAGGCAGTGAATATTGTGTCAGTGTGCACATCAGTGTTGCAGCAACAAACTGTTTATTCCTGTTTTGATGCACTGAGTTCATCTTTTTATCTATAAAAAAAAAGTATGATGGATCCAAAATCATTTGTGATGAAGCATTTAGTCACAGCTGTGCCCACATCTCTTTTTGGAAAATATCACTGGTAAATACTATGGTAAAATGTTGAAAGTAATTAAAATTAAAGACTTTGATGGACCACTTCTGAATATTCCTTTTTATGAAATAATCTAAATTTCACTATGTAGAGAGCTGGCTGTGCCTGGATGCCATGTGCCCACCAAAGCCACTCTATTATTCCTCTCCTCATCAGAATAGGAGAGAGACAATAAAAGCTAAGTCTTGTAGGTTGAGATAAGGACACGGATAGGTCACTCTCTGATTACCATCATGGACTTGACTTGGAGATACTATTAAAATTTAATACCAATGAGATCAGAATATGGTAATAAGAAATTAGCCCAACCTTTAAAACGCCATGCCCCCTCTCTCCTCTTCTGCCTGGGCTCAACTTCATCCCTTATTTTCTTTACCTCTCCTTTCCCCAGCAATGCAGGGGGACCAGGAATGGGGGCTGTAATCAATTAATTAATGTGTTTCTGCCACTCTAGGGAGGAAGGACTCCACCTCCTCTGGGAGGAAGGACTTCTCACAGACTGCCCCTGCTGCCTTCCATGTGTGGCTCACTTCCATGGGGCATATGCCTTTAGGGACAGACTGCTCCAGCATGGATTCTCCCATGGGATGACAAGTCCTGCCAGTAAGCCTTCTCCAACAGGGGCTCCTATCTCCATGGGGCCACAGGTCCTGCCAGGAGCATCACCTTCTCTAGGTATCCATCTGTTCCATGAGGTCTTCCACGTTCTGCCAGTGGATATCTGCTGTTCCACCATGGACTCCCAGGCCGCAGGGGCACAGCCTGGCTCACAGGGTCTGCACCCTGGGGTGCAGCAGGGGAATCTCTGCTCCAGCACACAGAGCACCTCCTGCCCATCCTTCTGCCCTGGCCTTGGTGTCTGCAGGGCTGTTTCTCTCTATATTCTCCCTCTTCTCTCTGGCTGCTTTTGCAGTGGGGTTTTTCACCCTTTTAAAATAACATTATCCTGGAGGTGCCAGCCCTGTCACTGATGGGCTCTGCCTTGGCTGCCTTGGAACCAGCTCACGTTGTCTCTGTAAGACAGTGGGGGAAGCTTCTGGCAGCTTCTTACAGTATCCACCCCTGTCAGCCCCCTGCTACCAAGCCCCAGTGATAAAAATTCAACATATACTAATCTTTTATTAAAATATTACAGAAATACAAAGCAGATAGTAAGAGAACATGAATGAACTTTTAGTTATATTTTGTAGTGTGTTTGGTAGCAGAATTTGATAATAAGCTAAGCCAGGAGTTTACATACAGGACTGAAGTATGGTCATATAGCATATTTTACTAAGGTTGTATGAGGCAATATCTCATGGCATCATGTCTAGAAGGATGCTGCTTTTTCAGACTGTGATCTTTCTCTTTTTATTTTTTTGGCTGTTTGTTTTAAAAAGTTCAATATTTACTAGGAATGCCTTTTTCCTTAGATTTTTTTATTTGAATTGAAAGATATCCTGTAAATGCATTCTTAGATTGTATACAGTTTTTTTAATCCAGTAATTAAGTCAACATTTTAAACTGTAAATATCAATTATTTGAATGAATATTATATTTAGCATACTACCAATTAGTAGGTTTTGTAATCTTCAATGGCCGTTGAGAATGGTGGTTCTCATATTAAAAGATTTAAGAAAAATATCTTCTCTAATTATGTCTTCTTGCATGAAATATGAATCTTTGATCACAGAAAACTTTCAGTCATTAACATGTTTATTTTCCTTATATTATCTGTGATTCATTTCTACTGTGATCTAATTATTTAGTGAGTCTTTCTTCAGGTTTGTGTACACTTTCACAAGGAATAGAAACTGACACTGAATTAACCCCTTTTGTTTTTAATTTATGGAAGTGCATCTCATTATTTTCCTGAGTACAGTAAGAAGCAAATAGCAGATTTGTTTGTTTTGTCCATAATTCAGAAGATCGGAATTGGAGGTGCTCGGTCTCTTGGTTCTTTTTTTCTGAAGTATATTAACAGTATTTTCCTCACCATATCCTTTGCTTTCTTACTATCTTCTCTGGCTGTTCCTGGCACAGAAAATTTCAGTTTCACCCATCAATCTGAAGCCAACTACTAGCTCTGCTTTGGTCTGGGCATAATTGCAGAGCTTTCATGTTATGCACAAGGAATCCCTCATTGTGCTTTAACAAGGTTTCACTAAACATACATTCAAAAATTAACATCTCAAAAATTGGATTTTGAATAGGTTTGAATTTCCTCCTGAGTATTTTAATGCATTTTGTTTCCTTTCATTCCCCTTTTATTGTTATATTAATTTAAAATTTTCAAATTTCTTCCACAACAATAAGCAATGCTAAAAATATATTAAAGGCCATCTTCCTGTAACCCCATGAGTCATGAAGCCCTGCCTTTTACAAGGGCAGCAAATATCCAGAAAATGATCATTTGAGACAGCTGACACAACTTTAGCTGCTGTAATCCTTTCGACAGACTTTGTGAACAGAGAGAAATACAGCCCTGGTCATAACCCTTGCTTTATCTATTCCTATTCTCAAGTTTACCTTTACAATTAGTGAGAGTAAGGAGGAAGGGGTATTACCATGCGTTTATACATGGGCAAGAACCCCCATTCCTAAGCTGAAGGAACCATCTCCAGCTTCAGTAAATATTGGTCTAAATAGTTGTTATATTGATCATACTGTTGAATTCAGTGAATATAAAACACAGATATCTATTCTCTTCCTTCTCTTAATCTGTGTTAAATAAAAAAAAAACAGTTTTCTGCCAAGTAGTTTAAGAACTGAAGAAACAGCTACCTTTTTCATACTTTTCTGAGGCAATGAAGAATAAAAAAGTACTCAGAGGCTGGAGACTTGTTTGTAAAAATGATCAGGTCTTGTATTATTTTTCTTTTATGCATAGAATATTTAGCTGAGCCATACAGTATGTAGAATGAAAATTGTTTGCTTCTTTGGTCTGAGTGCCCTTACCTTTGCAAAAAGCAATCAAATTATTTTTTAGAACATTTAATATCAAATATTGATTCTGCTACTAAATTAATTTGAACTACCAGGCTCATATTCTTTAATTATGAGGCCCAGTAAAAAAAAAAAAAATCAATAAACTACTAAAGATTTAATTGAATCAACTGTATTGGAATTATTTTATTCTTTACATGGAAATTAATATCATGTTTATAGTAGGGGTTTTGCAGCATATATGCAGTAGCATACATTGGCTAACAACATACATCGTTTTTGCTTTGTACAGCTTAGTTAAACACACAGCATGATGCCTTATAATAAAAGTAAGACAATGCCTTTTTTATTTGAACACTGAACAGGAATGTATCTTTTAAGAGAAGGCAGTCAAAGACTGAAAACAAGAGTGGCCTTTTTACTTTAAAATTATGTGAATCATCTAAGGCCATATGCTGTCTGATGAAACTATATAAAAGAAAAATGATGGAAAAAATAGATAATAGATTATTCTTTTTTACTAGCTGATTGAAAGGAAAGCTTATTATGCTTTTGGCTTTTACTAAGGTTCCTGTACATGGTTATCATCACAGTGTCACTAACTTTAAGTAACGTAGCATAGTCTGTCACATCATGTTTTCTTTTCCCTTCTCTCCTCATAGATGTGTGTACACCAGGATTTTCAATTCTCTGCAAAACAAAGTCAAAGAATTGTGTCTCACCTCTGAAGTGTGAGAAGTTGTGCCTCTGATGCTCTTTATCCAGCTTGGCTAAGGATGTCAGTAAGACTGATGCTACTGAGGGGCCAGAATGGAACTGCATATTTTCTTCTAACAGCTCTCCCCTTCACAGAATTAAACAAGTTATCTGTTGTGCTGTTTTGGGCTGGGATAGAATCAATTTTCTTCGTTGTACTTTATAAGGTGCTGTTTTTGGATTTGGAACCAAACCTCCATTAATAAGACAGCAATGTATTAGCTATTAAGCATCAAGGCCGTTCCTGCTTTTCACAGCATCCCATCCCCCTGGGGGCTGAGGAGACACAGCTGGAACAGCTGAGACCAAGTGACCAAATATCCCACACCCTTACGGTGCCATGCTGAGCAATGAAAGCTGTGGAGGGGGACAGAAGCAGGAAGTGGGGGGGACTTCCAGAGTGATGGTGTTTGTCTTCACACTGTTGCATGGAATCCTGCTTTCCTGGAGATGGATGAACACCTGCCTGCCCATGGGAAGTGATGAATGAGTTCCTTGTTTTGCTTTGCTTGTATGCATGGCTTTCACTCTTTCTATTAAACTATCTTTATCTCAGTCCACGAGTTTTCTCACTTTTACCCTTCTATTTCTTTCCGTTCTCGCACTGGGGAGGGGTGAACTAGGATCTGTGTCGCTATGTCTGCTGGCCAGGGTTAGACCACACAACTGCAATAAATTTTGTCTATTTATTCCCTAAGTGAATATATTTATCTTAGCTTATTTTCCACAGATCTTTACTATATATATTTTTTTTTTTAATTTGAAATCTTGAAGAGTGATAGAATGAATGTAGGATTTGTAACTTAGTTCTGTATTATCATTAAAGAGAACTTCTCAATGGTATTGTGCTTAGTGTAGTTTTCTCAGTTGAAAATAAAATTATACTTATCCACAATGTATGTATGCAGGGCTTAAAATAAAAAAGTTTGAGGAATACTAAGCCTGCTATCCATCACTTCTTCACATGACTCTGTAAAGTTCAGTTTAACAGATTAACATCAAAAGAGATGTTTTAAACTCCTGCATAGCAGAGAAGTGATTAGAGAAAAACTACATTCAGATGAGATCATTAGAAATGAGGAAGGGAAAAATGGATGTGAGGAAGTACTATGGCCACACTAAATTATTTCAGAGAAATGACTGTTCCCTCCAGTGAGTTTCCTATCCAAAAGCAAACCCAACCAAATCCTTCAAATGCAGTGTGGTATGGCTTTGTCTAACACATATTGTTAAAGAAATACAGTCTTGAATAATATATTTTAGATTTATTTTTATCTTTTTTGATAAGATCTGTAGAGATTTTCAAATCTTCCTTTCCAAACTGGTAACATTCATTCCCTACAAAATTAAGAGCTGATCTTTCCTTGGTGAATAATTGAAATAAAATGTTAACAAAGGAAAATGCAGAAACAGATGTTAAATTAGTAAGTGGTGGATTTTTTTTTAACCAAATCAGCATACATCTTTTCTATTCCTTATAAGCCATTACTGAGTTTCGAGCTTGACATATTTTCACTTCACATCTGAGTCTTAGTAGGTGTTTTTTAGAGTAGGCTGGAAGCCCTTCCCAGGTACACTACAGTATATATTGTTTTGAACTTAGACTAATTTCAGAAACATCCTTCCTCTGGCACATCATCTTTTATAAGTTAAGAAAAAATCTTCCAGGTGGATCTGCTGACAATAAGGAATAGTTCCAAAGAAGAGAAATTCAGACCTTTTAGAAGGAAACCTTACTTTTGCTAGAGAAAACAATAAGTTTTCATTATCTGGCCACTAAGCCTTTCCTGGTTTATTTGTTATTTTATTTGTTTGGGCTTTTTCTGTCCATTTATGTAACACAGAATGTGCAACAACTCACTCGTGGAAGTGCTTCAATGTTGTGAAAAACATCCTAGTCAGAATACAGGCTTTTTCTACTAGTAAATCTCTTTATGGATCTCACCATCTCACCTGTAATTCCAGTATTGATATTGGTTTTTCAGAGACTAATTTGCATGCACATGTGAATACATCCAAAGTAGAAACTAAATAATGTACTTCCTTCTCTGTTACCCCTTTGTTTTATTTCAAGTACAGTAAAACAGAGGCAACCCTGTACTGGTATTAAATCACCTTTATGATGATTAATACTATTAATACCCTTTATGGTATTAAATCTTATTTCCTACTTTAAACTTCTGTAAATCACCAAATGTTTCAAAATCTTGCATCACTTATCTTACTCTGCCTTATATATATGCCTAATAAATAGCTGTCTGTTTTCCAGGTTTTTACTCCTATATCTTCCTTTTCTGTAGCATCCTTTCCTATATTCCAGATTACTCTTAAAAAATAGCCATTATTCCTAAACCAAATTGAAATACTTCTGAATCTGTTCCCATATGTTTTATCTTGGGTTCATGGTGACTGTTGCACTTTTGGCATTCTGACATTTTTGTTTTGCTAAAGTGTGTCAATTTGGAGAATCATAGGAAGGAAGTAAGCCTTTAGTAATTAATCAGAAATAACATCTAAAGGAATAGAATCACTGCTAAAAACCACCTTATCTTCAAATTTATATAGTTAGATAAATTAAATGTTATATATTTTTATAATTCCTAAAGGTAAATATGGTGAACTTCAGTAACAGTATTTTACTTCTGTAATTTCTGAAAAATTAATATAGAGCATTGTTGTACCTGCCTATATGCTGCATCATTAAAATATAGGAAGACCCTCCAGGAAATGTATTTGGAAATAAATATTAAGTGAGTATAAATCCTTTTTCCTTATACCATAATTTAGGAATAATACCTTGAATATTTAAAAATTGTCTGATTGAATACTTATATTCATGATGGCAAAATCATCTTGTCCATCACCAAACCTAAAGATTATTAGACAGGTCAGTTTGAGGGCAACAGAAATCTCCAAAATATAACTGAGTCCATCTTATTTTTGTGTATTCCAATATGGGCCTATCCTTACTTTTTAAACCTATCCATATCCAAGGGAAAAATATTCAAACAAATGAAATTATTGAAGTCCTGAATTAAATCTCAGTGTACACAGTGCCACTAACATGCTTTTTTCTAAAGTATCAAATTAGAGAGAGAAAGAACAAATATGTTAACAACTGTATCAACAAATGTTAACAACTTATTTTTAGAATTAAACAATTACATGAGTGTGGATAATCTGAAAGGACGTATTTATATTTATATTGATATGAAATATATTATTTGAAAAGAAACATCCTTAATTTTTAAAACTGTAACCAAACGTTTTAGTCATATTATACATTATAACTTGAAGAGCATTGTATATTAAATCTTTATTTATTTTCTTTCAATTTTTAATTGAATATAAGAACTGCATCAGAATAAAACTAAAAATCAAATAATCATTAAATTATCTTGTTATAAAAGATATAAACAAGTGTATTAAAATCTATAAATAAATAGAAATTTAAGTATATTTTGTATTTATCGAAAACAAATGGGGAAATTTTTATCTTTTAATTTGTAAGTTTTTTCTTCTGTTAAAGGGTGCTGGGGATTACATTATAGAAATTTAGCGTGATAATACTCTTTGTTCAAGAGTTTAGAACTCAATGATTTTTTTTTTAAATCTAATAACACAGATGAGGATAAAAATGTTGTAAGTTTATTTAAGAATATTTTTGTATTTGTTTCCATCTTGCCATGAGTTTAGCATAATGATTATTAGCTACAGAACTAATGCAAAAGGAAAGACTGTGTAATAGCAGATTCAGAAGTATATGTCAAATTGAAGTCAGTGCAATAATTTTGTATTTTCAGTTGCAAAGTTTGGTATAGATAGATTTCTTGTCACTCGGATCCATGCTGATCTGTAGATTTAGTAGTCTTGAGGACCTTGATATAACCTGGATTTTGTGAACATTAAAAACACTAAATTAATTCTGACTTTTTCTAAGGTTGCTATGAAATTTTATAATTTAAATATTAATGAGATGGGGCATTTGCTATAAAGCATTTTGCAGGCTGAAAGAGAAGTTCTTAATTTAATGTGCTACATTTAATATCTAAAAATTTTCAGCTTGTAAAATTCTTTTATTTCTTTCAATCCTTTCAAAGGGGAAATGAATGGGTTATTCAATCACTGGTATTATAATTATCGCAGATTCTATTGCAGAGAATTTTCTATTTGCTGCTTAATCTCTGTCAGGATTCTTTTCTAAATCCTTGTCTTTCAACAAACTGGTTACATTTTTTATTATATTTACACAAGTCTTTAAGTGCTATTAACTTACAAAGAAACCAAAATAATGTAAATATATTTGAAAATCTACTTTTCATGTAAAAGAAATATTTCTAAATTAAATAAAAATAAATCCTTCCTAGCACAGTTTTCTGGCTCTTGAGTAGTTCAGTATTTGTCACTGTGCTATAATAGTCTTAGTGATGTTTTTTCCCAGTTTCTGGTTGCTGTCATTTCTGCTGATAACGAATGGGTTGCCTAGAAGTTGAAATGAGAAAAAGTCACTTTTCTGACTAGATGGTCATATAGACTTGTATACACATGTTTAAAGAAACCAGTTTCATATATTGTAATTGCCTTGAACCCAGAGCCTTCTTGCTTTCCTTCTATTTCCTCTCTGTCCTATGGGAGCGTGAGTAACAGTCTTGGAAGGGGTTTGGCTGGTGCTGAGGTCAGCCCACCACATATATACTGTCAGATAATTACACCTATACACAGCAGTCATAAATGCTACAGAATATCTAAAACCCATTCCCCATTTATTCTTCAATGTAACTTGAGTGTCATTTGTCCCACAATAAAAATTCTGATGTGTTTTGCATGACCACAACACATTATTGCATGGGGTTTTTTTTGTTTTAATAATGAATTCTGAGTTCTTATTAAAGAGTGACTTAAGATCATACCTAATGTTATTCTATATATTTGGCTATAGGGAAAAGATAATTTTCTTGCAGCTTTTATTTGGCTTACTAAATAAATAAGCTATGTATTATATCACTCTAGAATTTAACTCTGTGTAGCCACTGTCAGTTATTATGCCCTCATGAATGTCTAAAATATAAAGATCCTTTCCCTGTGTTGTAAAAATAATGTCCAGAGTTGCAATGCATCATACTATAAAGGTCTTAAGTTTTTATGCTCAGAGAAAATTGATTTTTTCCACTCATCAGCATTTTTATTAATCCTTTTCTCAAATATATGTGAAATGCAGAGTCCAAATTTATTAGCTAGCTTATATAAAATTAAATTTCAGTTCAATTATGAAACAAAATATGAGAGAAATACAGACTTTTAAAAAATTCCTTTCTTGTTCAAACAGTGAATATAAGTGATATAAAGTGGGATTTGTCTCAATTTAAAGGTCAGTTGCTAAATTTAGAGTACTCTAGATTCACTTTATATTCTATCAAGAAAATTGGAAAATTCCGAATAAAGTTTTCTTGATTAAAAACTGTGGAATTAAGAAAACTTGGGTTATTTTTTCCCCATATATATGTATTTTTCTATGATGACAAGAGAGAGACTTTAGATCACTCAGAAGATGGAACGGTATCTAAATATAATTCCATTAAAATCTAGCTTCATGCATAAACCTGGTTTTCAAAAAATATCTTAGGCATTTTAGCGAAACTCGTCTTGATTTCTGAATGCCCAAGTTTTTTTTTTTTTTTTTTTTTTTTTTTCATGGAAGCTAGAATTCTTATAGACTACATCTCAGATATAATTATGCATCTCCATATGATTTTCTTTTCAATAAAGAATCAAATTTCTTTCTGAAAACTTTTATGTGAGTTTTTAAGTACTGTATAATAAAATAATAAAAAAAACCACTGGAAATAATATGTTTTAATTTCTGATGAACCAAAGCCATTAAGTAAACCTTTACCTGCAAAAGGGTTGAGTTAAACTGAAAACCAGATTATAGATATGTAACATAGAAATGCATTTTTAGAAAAAACTTGGGAGATTTGACCTTCAAAATATGTGATGAAGCTAGCAATACATAACAATACATATAACTACTTTTTGCTTATCATTTTTGGTTGGTTTGGCACTTTTTTGTCACAGTTGATGCTGGTGAAAATTATCGTTTTGTAAAGCACTGCCTACTGGTTCAGTCATGACAGCTAATAATAACCTATGCTTTTCCACCAAAGGAAATTTTCATATTTAAAAAATAATTACTATAATAACTTGCATGCAGTGCATTACATAATTATGCATATAAGATTTTAGTCTTCCTTTTTTAAAAAATAACTATGTTTGTATTTATTTTATCAAACTCTCATAGTGGGGATGCTGGCCAAGTTTTCATTACTAAAATCTTAGAAGTCCTTAGAGAACTCAGTGTTTATGTAAATTTTCTTAGCAACACTGGAGAGCTAAATCTCCAGTACATTCATGAGGAAAATTCTAAGAACATAAGTAAACAGATGGAAAATTATTAATATCTCAAGATTGTCTAATGTAGTCTAATAATGGCTCCATGCAATTCTCTTCATACTTTTGGTATAATGTTTCATTTCTAGTTTCACAGTACAAATATGCATGTTTGCTGTCTGTTACTGTAAAAACTTTTATTACAAGAAACTAATAAATCTAATCCACTCTGTTCAATTTTTTATCCTGGACAATGCCAGTTCTTACTCAGAACTCAAAGTGCTCACATAATTGATCACAAAAGAGATTTCTAACTTAAGCAGGAAAGACTCTTTCCTGCTCTGCAAGGATAAACCAGGTATTAATATTATAAATGTAGAATGTTTTACAACCTCTAAGGGACTCCTACAGATTTGACCAGTCAATTATCGGCAGATTTTTTAACTGTCTAAAACATTTCCTCAAAGAAAACAGCTGTCTCATTTTAAGAGTCAGGATGCCTAATGGAGGCTGTGGAAAGAAACATGCCTTCTATGAATAACATGAAGTAATTAACTATGAAAGAAACAAACTCTTAAAATGTGTTTATTTTTCCACAGTATTTAATTTACTGTCATGTAAGTTTTAATTAAGTTTTTGTTGAATACTAACCTTAGCCTCTGGTGAAATCTTTTCTCTACTTACATAGACATGATGAACTTACAGTGTCTCAGAAACGCTTCCATTAAGTTTTGCAAAACAGCAATATGTAAATTTTCATTGCTTTCCTATTAAAATATCTATTCAAGAGCAAAATATCAGGCAATGCTATGAGATTAGGAAACTAAGAGCATTCTTAGTTTTCAATTAAATTTTAGTCAGATTTCTTCAGCCTTTGCTCTGTAACCAGCGACTGGACTCTGTTTAGAGTAAGAAAGGCTCTTTTGGACAGAAGCTTTATTTTTACTGCATTTGCAAAGGTTTGCTGCATTGTCTCTTTCTGAATGGGTGCTAATCACTCTTTCATAAACAAAGTGTATTTCTAAATCTAAGTTTTGGCACTTTGCTCAAGTATTCTGTTTTAAAGTGAGGTGCTGACATAGGTACTGGTGTCTTTTCTGTTGTGTCAGTGACAGGTCTGAGGCAATGGGCTGGAGTTGTGTCAGGGGAGGTTTGGGTTGGATATTAGGGAAAGGTTCTTCCCCCAGAGGATGGCTGGGCACTGGAACAGGCTCCCCAGGCCAGTGGTCACAGCACCAGCCTGACAGTTCAAGAAGATTAGGACAATGCTCTCAGGCACATGGTGTGACTCTTGGGGATGTTCTGTTCTGGGCCAGCAGCTGGACTTCAGTGACCCTTTTGAGTCCCTTCCTGTTGTAGCCTGAATTGCTGCTAGTAAAGTCCAGGGTAAAGAAGCAGAAAGGGCTTTTGCATGGCACCCACAGATGTTTAATTCAGCCGTGCGGTGAGATGTTCAGACTCCCAGGCACACACATACACAGAGAATCCCGGTTTCTCTCTCTCCAAGGCCCTGGGGTGCTCTGGTTTTGGGGCAATACAAAGATAAGGGCCAATCAGGGAATAGGGAGTCAACCTAAGAAGATGGGGAAGGGGCCCATGGGGTTTTACGGGCTTTTTGAGGGAAGCTTCTTGTCTTTCCCCAACCCAGGGGATGCCCCCCAGGGTCTCCACACCTTCCAACTTAGGATATTCTATGATTCTAATAAAAGTATGTTCCTGTGGATTGAAATGCCCATTCTTTCCAGTAGTGGCCTGTAGTTGATAACATTACTCCTAGAAGCGCTAGTGTTCTGTAGAAACATGAAGAAACAATACAGAGCACCAGACTTTCAGCTTGTTGTCTCTTTAGTGCAGTGCATTATCTTCTGTATTCCTCTTTCAGGATTAGTTCTGTTCTGATGCCTCTCATTCTGTCTTGATCCAGCTATGCTTTGCAGTGTTATTGTGAACCACTTTAATGTGCTTACGTACTCTTACTGTGCTCCAGCAGCATTGGTCTCTCTATGTTCATTCTTTCCATTTTGTAGCCAAGTCCACCTGCTGTCAAGAGCACTCATATCTGTCTTATTATGCTGTCATATTTCCTACTACTTGTATTGACTGCTGTACCTCTTCAGTAGAGAAGGGAATATTTAATGTGAGAGTACCCTGACACTTCTGAACAATGATCTGAGGCACAGTACAGATCAGAGGATTGCTATAATAGCTTTTGTTGGCTCTTTTCAGCACGGAACAACAAGTGAACTATTTTTGCATTTAGTTACAATCCTCTACATACTGTAATACTAATAATGATAATAGTCAGAGAGTAATAAGATTTCTTTCAGCCCCAAAATGCATTTGTTGTAATCAGAGAAGATAATTTAGGGTGAAGTAGTGATCATTAATCTAGGATATCTAAACTGTCTGAAGACCTCTAGCTGCTGTGAGAAAAGAAGAGTTCTCTTGCTGGAGTAGTTCTTTTGCTGCAGAAACTCTCCTGAGATGAAAAATTTGGCAATTTCCCTTATTTGGTTAATTCTAAACCCTGCTGGTTCCTTGTGGACATGTGCTCTGTACTCAGTATGGTTGCTTTGTATTGCTTCAAGGCTCAATACTTTACAAAGCTGCATCTCTCCCATCCCTTATAAATTCTGTCATTAGACTATTTTTTAATTCTATTTTTCTTTTTCTGGAATTGTTTGTGAATTGATTTACATACTATCAGATGCAGGTAGATACTGTGCTGTGAAGAGACTGACCTTTGGCAATATACAACACAAGTGGTGAAAATGAAATTGCCTTTTCCTCTCTCAGTCTTATAAATCTAATATTATTAGTAGCTATGGTAATGACATCCACTAAAATTATTGCTTTTATCCTGCTAATGTCCTTTTAACTTTGTATTTGCTATTTTTTTACTCATAGCAGAAAGTGAGTCTTGTGTCTCGTGACCTTTCTTTTGGGAGATTTTTTTACAGTGAGTTTAATACAGTAATTCAAATGCAAACCTACAAAATAGCCTAAAAATAAGAATTGCTCTAAGCAATGCCCCCTCTTCAATATTTGTGAGGTGCTTGCAATATTCTTTGCTCTTATGCAAGGAATAAATAACTGAAAGGAGCCATATAACTGTGAGGCCCCATATTTCTTTGGGGACAGTGCAATGTAAATCTCGTTGAGAACTGGAATGACTGTTGTGATATGACATCCCAATGGAAGTCAGTGTCCTCCTTAGAGAATATAAGACTTATAGCTGTGGGAAAAACACCTTGGAACTGATATGCAATCCTGCAGCAGGTACAGGATCTGTGGTAGCATATGTTTAAATAAAAGCCACAGACTCACTGAACTTTCATATTGACAGAAGGACAGAGGTGCATCGCTTTGAAAGAAAATCCCTGTTGCAAGTGTTCACAACAGAGAGTTACTGGGCATTTTGCTTTGGCAAGTTGTGCTCTCTTCAAC